ATTGTCCGCCACAGCAAAAGGCCACTGGTTGAATTCCTGGTCAGGGCACAAGTTCAGGTTGCAGGTTCAGTCCCAGGCGGGGCCCAAACAAGAGGCAAGTGACTGATGTTTTTCTCCCTTTCTCCCTCCCCCTCTTGCTAAAAAAATAAATAAATAATTTTTAATGTGTTTAAGCAATTATTTAAATATTTATTTTTTAATTCTCACCCAAGGATATGTTTATTGATTTTAGAGAGATAAAGAGACAAGAGAAATATCAATGTGAGAAAAAAACATTGATCAGTTGCCTATCATAAGCACCCCACCAAGGGATGGAACCCACAACCTAGGTGTGTGCCTGACAAGGAATCAAACCCACAACCTTCTGGTGTACAGGACAATGCTCCAACCAACTGAGCCACCCAGCCAGGACTAAGCAAATGTTTTTAATAGCATTCGTCTCTTGCTTACCATTCCCCCAGATAAACAGAGGGCAGGGATGCCAACATTGAGCAATCATATTACCTAAATATGTAACTCATATATAACTTCCCTAAAGTAACAAACTGTACCATTTTATACACTTGCACAATGGGGCTATTTTTAGGCCCTACTTAACATTTTATATTTGTTTTACATTCCAAAGAGGGGTCATGTTTTCTTCAATTTCATTTAAAGTTAATGATATAGGTCCAAAGCATCCTCTCCCACTGTTTCTCAAAAATGAGCTACAAAGCAAAAGATACCTAGTTTCCAGTGGGCAGTGCTTCCTAATTCCCTACTAAAGATGAAACACTGCATCTGATAAAAGGCCATCTCCTGAGGCCCCCACACCAGTTCCATTCTGCAGATACTGATACTCTCCTGAAGTCAAGGAAAAGCAATCCATTTTCTGCTTTAAAATTGTCAAGCTACAAACAAAAAAGTTTTATTTTCTAAACTAATGGAGTTACAACATGCTTGGGAATCACCCTGAAAGAGCCAGCTCACCCACTGCTACAGAACGCTCTGATCCCAGGGTTCCCACATCTTCTGCACATCTGGGGCCCTTGATTAAAATATTCTCCAGCCCTGGCGGTGTGGCTCAACCAGCTGGAGCAACATGGTTCAGTTGGCTTGAAACGTTGCACAGACCAAAAGGTCATAGGTTCGATTCCAAGTCAGGACCAGTCAGGTCACATACCCAGGTTGGTTTTATTCCCCCCCAACTCAGTCAGAGTGTGTATGAAAAGGCAGCCATGGATGTTCCATGTTTGTTTCTCTCTCTGCTCCCTACAACTTCCTCTCTCTCTAGAAGCTATAAAGAAATGTCCTCAAATGGGGATTTAAAAAAAAGTTCTCTGAATACATGAGTGTACACATTTGTCAAAATTATACGTTTTACCATATGTAATTATGCCTCATTAAAATTTTAAAAATTAGCCCTGGGTGTTGTAGCTCAGTGGATTGAGCACAGGCCTGTGAAGCAAAGGGTCACTGGTTCGATTCCCAGTCAGGGCACATGCCTGAGTTGCAGGCCAGGACCCCAGTAGGGGACACATGAGAGACAACCACACACTGATGTTTCTCTCCCACTCTTTCTCTTTCCCATCCCCTCTCTCTAAAAATAATATTTATTATTTTTTTTAATGAAAAGATTCACCCTGGCTGGTGTAGCTCAGAGGATGGAGCACGGGCCTACAAACTAAGGGATCACAGTTCGATTCCCAGTCAGGGCACATGCCTGGGTTGCAGGCCAGTTCCTAGTGGGGGACACACAAGAGGCAACCATACACTGATATTTCTCTCCTTCTCTCCTTCCTTTCCCCTCAAAAAATAAATGAATAAAATCTTTAAAAAAAATTTTAAAAGATGTGCCCTGACTGGTGTGGCTCAGTGGACTGAATGCCAACCTACAAACCAAAGGGTCACTGGTTGATTCCCAGTCAGGGCACATGCCTGGGTTGCGGGCCAGGTCCCAACTTGGGGATGCACAAGAGGCCTGATTGATGTTTCTGATGTTTCTCTCCCACATTGATGTTATTCTTCCTTCTCACCCCCTTCCTCTCTCTTAAAAAGAAACTAAATATTTTTTAAAACATTTTAAAATCCATGTAACCTGACTCCCAAAAATCTTAGTTGTCTCACAGTATCTAAAAGGAAGTTAAGGACCCCCGCCCAGATACCAAGATGTAATATAAAATGGCACAGACCAATGCATACAGCTGGCACTCTGCATCTACAAATGGAAACAACACATGTCTACTGAAAAAAAAATCCTCATATAACTGCACCCATGCAGTTCAGACTCATATTGTTCCAGGGTCAACTGTATGTATATTCTTGGAGGGTTCAGCAGTCTAACATGCTGTTTCTCCCTCTAACGGGTACACCTGGCATTGTAGAGAAAGTGCAAATGGAAGAATAACACCTTATTTCTTTAGTAGATCTATACCTGAGAGACACCAAACAATAGACAACAACAAAAAAAGTAAATCCTACAACCTGAAAATTTGTCTTAGTTCCTAAAAGAAGTTTCAAAACCACCTTATATGACTCCCCCCTTCACTGGTCTAAACCTGTGTTTTTCAGAGTGTTCTTTGAGTCACCAGTATCTGAATGATATGAGGTGCTTCTTAGAACCCTTTCCATATTTTGATTCAAAAGAGAACCAAACCCAGGGAATCTGCATTTTTAACTCCCCAGGTCATTTTTATGCTCAAAATTTGCAGGTAGCTAGAAATGTTCACCTTAGGTAAAAAAAACCTTGAACACAAAAGATCATGACTCGTACTGGCTGGTACAGCTCAGTGGACTGAGCGCAGGCCTCCGAACCAAACAACCGTGGTTCAGTTCCCAGTCAGGGCACACGACTAGATTGCAGGTCAATTCCCAGCAGGAGACGCGGGAGAGGTGACCATACATTGATATTTTTCTCCCTCTCTCCTTCCCTTGCCCTCTAAAGATAAAAAAATAAAATCTTAAAAAAAAAAAAAAAAGATCATGACTATGCTTGCTCTTAAAGCAATAAAAATTAGCTACTAGAACATGACAATCTGTAAAGCAACGGTCGCTAAGAGCAGATACTATGAAGCTACAGTTCCTGAGTTTACAATTCTGTTCACTAGCCATTTGACACTGGGCAAATGAGCCCCAATTTTCTCGTCTGCAAAATAAATTACTACTACCTATCTCAGAGTTGTGAGGGTTAATGAGTTATTAAAACTCTCAGAGGAATATCTGAAAAAAATTTTTAAATATTTTACTTATTTATTTTTAGAGGAGAAGAAAGGGAGAAAGAGAGAGAGAGAAATTCAGTATGTGGTTGCTTCTCATGCATCCCCTATTGGGGACCTGGCCCACAATCCAGGCATGTGCCCAGATGACCGTTTGGTTAGCAGGCCAGTGCTCAATCCATTCAACCCCACCAGCCAGGGCTGAAAAAAAATTTTTTTAACTAAAAAAAGTTTTTAGAGTGCCTGACCCGTCCAACACTCAAAATACAATAATTATTTCAAATCCTTGTGGCCAATGTCCACAAACAGCTGGCTATATGGCTGTGAATCTTACCTGCTGAGTCTCTGAATTTGCATCTATATCCAATGATACAATACAAAACCACGAAGGAACTAATGTTTTATACTGTTTAAAAATCAGGCGCACCCTGACCAGTGTGGAGTTTGGTTGAGCATAGTCCTGCAAAGCAAAAGATCACCAGTTCAGCCCCCCCGCCAAACAGGACATATGCCTGGGTTGCAGGTTCAGCGCCCGCTCCCCCTGACTGTGTAACAAGAGAGGCAACCCACTGATGTTTCTCCTCACACAGATGTTTCTCTCTCTCCCTGTCTTTACTCTTCCCCTCTAAAAGTAAATAACATGCATTTTTTAAAAAATCAAGTGCTCCTCAAATAAAACATAAACCAAGCTCTAAAAATGGTAGGTTGAGAGATGTTTTCCAAATAAATCTTTCAAGAGGATAAGAAAAACAAAGGGAATGAAAACTCTCCACACATTCCATAGCAAAATATGATTGTATTTAATCATCTCCATCATAATGCGTTAAAACTAAAGCAAATGGGTGGTTGGACCAAGGTACAAGACAAAGCCATCCAATAAACACTTCACACCCATCCTGCCACTTTCTCTCTCTCAAATCTGCATTTAAAACAAGTTAATTTCCTAACGTGGGAATTTGGCTACAACATCAACAATAAGTCTAATCATATGTAAAATGCCACTATATTGTAAGGCTAATATTAGAGTATCCGGACAGTAAGTACTTTCAACAGCACCCATGGTGCTAGGAAGACGGCCTGAATTAAAGACCTGTAAGATGTAAAAACAGGAAAAAAAAAACTAATAAAATGGAGAAAACGATTCTCTGATAAGTGTGTGCAAGCCCCAAGGTGAGATGCAAGAAGACGTCATTTTCCCTGAAAACAAAAAGCCTTAATGCCCAGAACACTCCAGCCCTGAATCCTAACAGCAAATAGATGTAAAGGAAAGAGGTGATGTGATATCTGGGTGAGAGATGACCCGAATTCTCATGGGAAGAAAAAGAGCCAAAGCTTAGTGCACAAAACATGGAATCTAGTTTTAGGCTTGCAGGGGTCAGTGAACCATCTTCCAGTAAGCCTGAAATGTCCAGACAAAAAAAGATTTGTCCTGGAGAGCAACTCTTTAAAAACCCACACAAGACAGACTGTGGATTCGAAGGTCTTGGGGGGAAGGGAGGCAGTGGAAATGAATCAAAAGAAGCCTTCTCCAGGGTAAAATCATGTGACTCTCGGGCATGGAATGTCTAAGGAGCTAGGAGGGAGGAAGGGTCCTGGGGAAATGACCACGGAGATGACTGTGCGCAAGAGCCGAACCCCGAAGCCACAGTGTCTGTGGGACCCCAGGCCTCCAACCCGCTCTCTGACCACGCACCAACCTGGGACCACCGTGAGGGGGCACTGTCCCCTCGCGGGCGCGCGGGAAAAACGGCGGCTGGGCCTGAAGGGGGCAGGGCGAGCCGCGAGGGCGCCCCGCCGGGCACTTACGCGGCCGCTTCTTCCTGAGTGTTTCCACGCGCTGGCGGGAGACCGAGGTATTGCCGCTGTACGAGCTGGGTCGGTCCCGCCTTACTTCCTCAGTAAAGGCCGAGGCTCCGACCGCGGGTGCCGACGCACTATTCGACCGGCGCCGCAGCGGCTCCTGCCGCCGCCCATCTGGCTCCTCAGACGCCGGGTCCCGGGTCGACAAAGCGGAGGTGGTGGCGGCCCTGCCTTGGTGCTCCATGGGCACACCGAGCAGGTCCGCTCCCATCCACAGCAGCCACGGCTACCTCCTGAACCAGCCACCCAGGGTCAAACTCCTGGTTGCCTCCTCCGCGGCAGTCCAGCAGGAGCAGAGGCGAACCCTCGACCGTCAGCCTCTTCCGTTGCGCCAATGGGCAACAAACCAATCCCAACAGGCTACGGGAGGCCCGCAGGCCTCGTATCCAATCGACTTCCTGACTCGAGATAGATTGACTTCAACTCTGTCCAATGAGAGACTCTTAATTCGGTGGCGGGGCAGAGAGGGGGGGGATCCGCGGAGGAGGAAAAGGCAGTGTGGCTAAGGGGGAAGTGATGGCGGCACCGCCCAAAGGACGTCGGGGTGGAGGGGCTTGTGCCCTCCGCCTGTAACACCCCCCTGCTTGTGTGGACAAGTCGGTGCTCTGGGGCCCAAGAACTCTCCCGGGACCCGCCGCGCGCCCCCGAGTCTCGCCATGCTGCTCCGTTCCATCCTCCCTGTTCCTTCCTCCAGCCCAGCAGCGCCCCCGCAGCTTCAGTCGGCCGACTGAAGGGCTGGAACTGCGGCTGACTTATAGCCTTTGTCCCTCGGCCTGGTTCCTCCGCTGCGGTCTAGGACGCCAGCCCTTCCATGCTATTTTTTACTACCACCCCCTCCCCCAGAACCACCACTGGTGCTTTTGGATTAATCCCCCTCCATCCGCCTGCGTTGGAGAAATGTTCCTGGTACCAGAAGGGATGAAAAGACTGGGTAGGTCTCCATGACAACTGGATGAAAAAGGTGGGTTATGAATCTTTTGCCACCCTCCTGTGATGAAGGAAGGAGTATGGGAGACGAAGTAAGGTTGGCTTTTTGAAGGAGTCTGACCCCTCTTTCTGCGTGATGCACTAGGGGACACAGAAGGATATGGTGGCCTCCTGGGAGCCTAGTGGGGACGGGCGTTTTTTTTTTTTTTTTTTTTTTTTTTAAGTATCCTTCCCTTCTCTTTGGGGGCAAGAACATGGTCACCTCCAGCCCTGAGAGCCTAACCTCGCACATCTACCTAAGGGCCTTCCAAGCACCCCTTCTCTCAGAGAGTTAACCCAAGTCTGTTATGATCCCGCCCCTCTCTACCTTAATGGAAGGCCCTCACCCCATCAAGTTTAAAGAGACTGTGGGTTCATCTTACTTGCAAATTATTTCGTTAGAAACTGGGAGACTAATGGCCCTTGGGTGATGTCCTTTAGTTTCTTCACCTTTTCTGTAATGACTGCTGGTAGCAGGCCGAGCAAAAAAGATGACCTTTGGGGTGGTTGGAGGTGGTGGAGGATATGGGGAGGGGGGATAAATGGTAATAGAAAAAATAAAATAAAATTTTAAATGAAAAATAAAAACGAATGTAAACAAGGAAGTTTTCTTCTGAAGATCAAAATAAATAAATTACACATAAAAAGAGAAAGATGAGCCCTGGCTGGTGTAGCTCAGTGGATTGAGCACAGGCCTGCGAACCACACGATTGTGGTTCGATTCCCAGTCAGGGCATGTGCCTGGGTTGAACACCAGTTCCCAGCAGGGGACTCACAAGAGGCAACCATACATTGATAATTCTCTCTTTCTCTCCTTCCCTTCCTCTCTAAAGATAAATAAATAAAATATTTTTCAAAAAATAAAAAAAAGAAAGATGAGCTTCTTTCTTGCTTGTTGAATAGAATGACCATGCTCACTGCAAACTTGCTCCCCTCACTGTAGGAATAACTCTGGAACCCCAATTATCCAACTCTGGAAATCCTAGCTCCTTCAGGAAGCTACCCCCAAATGGATCCTACAAGAACCAAACAACTATATCTTCTCTTCCAAATATCAGTGCCTAGCCTTGCCTATCTTTCTGCCTCCTTCCCCTCCCCTGCCATCACCACAAAAAAAAAAAAAATGTATAAGGTCCTCCTTGGCAGGAGGAAGCTTCTATCCAAGTCTTTGAGCTTTCATAGAGCATCCTGCGGAATCAGAGAATCAGTATCATCTGAGGCTGTCAAGGTGAATCTCAACATGAAAACAACACCTGAAATATATGTAGCATTTTTTACAATTTACACAGTGTCTTTACGTCTCACTCCTAGCAACATTTGGATGATAAGGCAACTTACCCAGCAGCACAGAGTTTTTAAAAATGGCAGAATCTGCCCTCAATTCCCAGTCAGGACACATGCCTCGGCTGGAAGCCAGTTCTGCAGTTGGGGGGTCTCAAAAGGCAACTAATCGCTGTTTCTCCTCCTTTCTCCCTTCATTCCTCTCTGTCTGAAAATAAATAAATTAATGAAAAAAAAAGACAGAACCTCAGAGAAGTTAACTACTCTGCCTATGATAATCAAAAGAAGACACTGAGCCCTGACTGGAGTGTCTTGGTTGTTTGGGCATCATCCTGTAAACCAAAAGTTCTCAGCGGGTTTGATTCCCAGCCACGGTACACCCAGATTGTGAGTTAAGTCTTGTTCAGGGTGCACGCAAGAGGCAACCAGTTGAGGTTTCTCTCTCACACCAATATTTCTCTCCCTCTTCCCCTCTCTAAATAAATCTTTTAAAAATTAAAAAATTTTTTTAAAAGAAAGATTTGCCTTGGAGCAAAATAAACCCATGAGTAAGTTTTTTTTTCAAAAAGTGAAAGGAGCAATTAAGAGATTTCCTTTCTCTGAGTTACTATAATTTATTTTTGGTGTGGCTCAGTTGTTTGGCTTGTTCCCACAAAGTGGAAGGTTGCCAGTTCAATTCCCAGTCTGGACATAATGCCTGGGTTGCAGGTTCAGGTGCCCAGTTGGGGCATATATGGAGTAGCAAACGATCGAAGTTTCCCTTTTATTTCTCTCTCTCTTCCCCTCTAAGATAAATAATAACAATAATTTAAGTTCTTTATCACTGTCAGTTATTTACCCTTGGGGAGAGGCTAATTTTCTGGTGTACACACCAGAATAAGAAGCACTGAAGTCATGACAAGCATTGTGCTTCAGAGGAACTGACCAAATTCTAGATAATGACTTGCAAATCTAGAGCCATTTTGGTGACAAGACATCATACAAAACATATCTACCATATTGGTTGCTTATGGCAAGGTAAAAACTCCAAAACTTAGTGGCTTGAAACAGTAATAAATATTTTGTATTACCTCAGTTTCTGTAGGTCAAGAATTTGCAAGTGGCTTACAGGTGTGGTTCTGGTTCGAGGTCTTCCATAAAGTCGCCATCATGCCCTGGAGGATCCACTTACAAAACGGCTTTCAGCAAGAGTCCTCAGTTCCCACAACGTGGACCTCACCAAAGGGTTGCTTGAGTGTCCTCTTGACACTCGCTTCTTTCAGAGCTAGTGAGGCAAGAGAAGTCTAGACTAGTCACCATATGTATATATTTCTTTTTCTCTTAAGATTTTCTTTATTTTTAAAGAGTAGGGAAAGAGAAATATCAATGAGCGAGAGATACATCCATCAGTCGCCTCCTGCACACCCCCACCTGGGGACCTGGCCCACAACCCCAGGCATGTGCCCCAATGGGGCATCAAACTGGCAACATTTCAGCCCACAGGCCAGCACTCAGTCCACTGAGCCACACTAGCCAGGCAAAGTCACAATATGTCTTAAGATGTAGACAGGAAAGTCACACTTCATTGTTTCTGCAATATCTTTTTTTTTTTAGATTTTATTTATTTATTTATTTATTTTTAGAGAGAGGAAGAGAAACATCAATGTGTGGTTGCCTCTCATGCATCCCCTACTGGGGACCTAGCCCACAACCTAGGCATGTGCTCTGACTGGGAATCAAACTGGTGACCTTTTGTTTCACAGTCCAGCACTCAATCCACTGAGCCACACCAGCTAGGACTGCAAATCTTATTATTACACAGATTAGCCCTATTCAGCATGGGTTGGTATCACCCAAGGACTTAAATGCCAGGAGGGAGAGAATCCCTGGAGGCCATCTTGGAACCCACAGTCTGCACTCTCGCCCCCGAGAATGTGAGATTTACATCATCTTACCACTTTCTAAGAGCCAGGGGACAGACCCTCTCTGAGTATTCATTTTCTACAGCTAAAGTAGAGTAAAATTAAAGTCTTTTCTCAAGAGTGCCAGGCCACAAGGTTTATAGACCAAGTTCTTTCATTGGGTTTCATTGGAGGCAGGAAATTGAAGGGTGTAGCTCAAGCCCCTTTCAAGCACAAGGCCTTTTTTCCAAAGTGTCATGATGGGAATTTGGGAAAACCTTGCCTATTATCCCTACCAAAGGACAACAATACGAAGAACAATATGAAGAACCTGAAGTTCTTAAGCCTCTAGACGTTATTCCCATACCTGGCCCCTGGCCCAGAGTCCACTTCGAAGAGGGATGGAGGTGGGCCAGTCTGCGCTGCACACACACGCAGCATAGCTAGCCTGCGGCTCTGAGCATCACCAGAGCTCACAGGCAATATAAACATACTCTTGCCTGCTTTCACACAAAAAAGCTCAACTTGTCTCAGGAGAATAAAGAAAGAAAATTCAAGATGAAATGACAGTGAGTTTAGAACAACTCAAGAGTTTCCTAAATGCGAAGAAAATCCCATTCCTTCCAAGTATTGAAAGGACTATTTTCTCTTAGTTTTCAAGCTCAAGGCCTAGCTTATCTTTGACTAAATATCCCTGATTTGTATACTAATATTAGATAACCACTAATAGTTTTGCACTTTAATAATTGTTAGGAAAGCAACCTGTACTCAAATGAGCTTGGAAAATATGAGGTTTAGTTTAGTGCAATTTCTTAAAAGATTTTAATGTGCTGAAGGGAAAGACAAATCTCTAAGAGGAGACATGTATGCATCTATCTTCCAAATGGGATTGAGCATGGGCCCTTTTTTCACAGAATGTATTCCTCAGACACACTTTCTGAAAATCATCTTTGGGTATAAAAATCATTGGCATCTCTTATATTAATGGCAGTGAACGTATAATTCTTTCCGTTTTGAAAGCTTGATAGCATTTTGTTTCCAAATAAACATATTTGTAAAAGCATCTGGTTTTCTGTTTCTAAATAATGCATTTTATTTTATTTTTAAAAGCTTTTTATTGTATTTTTTCTATTACCATTTAATCCTTTTATATACCCTCCCCCTACCCTGGCATCTGTTTTTTGAAAACAAG